TTACTTCGGGAAATTTATTAGGGATTTCTCAGGGGCCAATCAATAATTGAATTTTGTAAATATTTTATCACATAAGTGAGTACTGACTTTATTTAAGTTCCTTATATTACCCAAATGCTGTGTCTTTACTTTTTGCCACCTTGATTTGTCAGCGTTCTGAAAGAATATTAAAGCCTTTCATTATTATTGTGTTTTGTGTTTTTAAAATAACTTGGGTCTCTGAGACAGTTTGTTGCAAGTATCTGGCTGCTGTGATATGGGGTGCGTATCTTCTCATGGAGAGAATCGGGTGCCTGTCTAAAATATCTCCCATTGTTCCAGGCTTTTTGATGCTTGGATGTGTGTTGTCCCTCTTCTGGTTTGTGTGCCTTCGCTTGGTACATGGTAGGTGACACATCCTTTTATTTTTAGCCTCTCTTTGTTATGTCTAGATGCTAGATTTTGTTTTCTAACTCAGGTTTGGTAGGGAAATTAGCTCATTCCTTTTTTTGTTTGAAGTAACTGATACTTGATTCGATTCTTTTTGTATCATTTCCATTGTATTTTTCCATTTTATGCTTTGCTTCCTGTCTTCCTTTTTTTTTCCTTTTACTTTGGTGTCTTTTAGATTTTTGTTTCCTCTTTTCTGCTTAGTTAATTGTGATTCTATCTTTTCAAAGCTGCAGGTGGTTACCTGTCCTGTCCTGCAGACCCAGACGGAGCCCCTGGTACTTTATCACTTCAAGATGCTTCTCCTCCAGGGCAGCCTGGGTGGCTCAGTGGTTTAGTGCCACCTTCAGCCCAGGGTCTGATCCTGGAGACCCAGGATCGAGTCCCACGTCAGGCTCCCTGTGTGGAGCTGGCTTCTGTCTGTGCCTCTCTCTGTGTTTCTCATGAATAAACAAATAAAATCTCTCTTTTCTTTTAAAGGTGCTTCTCCTCAAGAGCTTCCCATTGAACCCACAGGAGACCTTCAGAATACTTTTATCTCCCTCCCCCACTTGAAATTTTAGGATTTTGCAGCTCACACATGTATATTTTTACTATTTTAAAAAAGATTTTATTTATTTCTTTGACACAGAGAGAGAGCAGGGGGAAGGGACAGAGGGAGAGAGAGAAGCAGACACCCCCCCAACCCCCATTGAGTGTGGAGCCTGATGTGGGGCTCAATCCCAGGACCCCAGGATCATGACATGAGCTGAAAGCAGATGCTTAACCGACTGAGCTACCCAGGCACCCCATGTGTATCTTTAAAAAAAATCAAAGCTGGCTAGAATATGGTGAGCCCTTCTGGTGCACTGACTCAATTCTCTTCCAGATTATATAAATTCTCCATTATCCCCATCTGTGTTTCTCCTTCTGGAACTCCCATTACTCACATCTTAGGTCTCCTGATTTTTTTTTCCTTAGATGTATTTTTCAGGTCTAATTTCCATCATGTTTTCCATTTCTGAGCTTCCCGTCCTCTGGGTCCTGAGAGGTATCTTCTAGTTGATCCTCCAGATTACTGATTTGGCCACTCCTGAGAAACATCTTTTTGTGTCTGGGCTAGGGCCTGAGCTTTCATTTTGTTCTTGATGAAGTCCCTCATTCAGTGCTCCTTAGGGGAAGGCTGCCCCCTGCAGAGGGGAACTTCCTTTCCTCCTGAGCTTCCTTGGGAGAGGGCTTCCCTTTCCTACGGTGTCTGGTCGCCCTTGGTCCGGAGCAGTGGCAAAGCAGTGAGTGGTGGAGAGACACTTTCTGCTCTTCTGGGCCAGAGGTAAGAACTAGCAAACCCCTGGCCCTCTCTGAAGCCACTGTGAATGGCCTACAGGTCCCTCTGATGAGGGGTAACCCTCTCCCAACCGCAGGGAGCAGGAATAGCACCCCAACCCTGAACAAGCTGGCCTCCCAGGACTCTGGGCAAGTGGATACAGCTTCTTCCCAGGGAATTCTTAATTAGCTGAGATCTAGTTTGTGTGTGGTTGGCCCTCTCCTTGCCTCCCTCCCTCCTCCCCTTCCTTCCTTCTTTCCTTGCCTTGTGGCTTGAAGAAACCATGAACATCTTGGCTCTAGCCTTCAGGGCTACTGTACAGTTTTGCAGGTTGTTAACTCTACAAGTGTGTGGCTCAGAGGGCGGAGTGGGTAGTCTGTGGTCCTCTCAACAGGCTGTTTGCTCTGGTGAGGGCATATGTCTCCCTGGAGGAAGGGCTGCTTTCTGACAGTTTGCACAGAGGCATTTTTTGCCGTGTGTTCCCAGGGCTACCCTGCACACGATACCTTTCCCCTCACCTGAGCACAGGCCCTACTCCCCGGTCCAGCGGCAGCCCTACTGGCTTCGAGGGGCATCCTTCCCTCCCACGCTGCTGTCCAGTGCTCTCTTCAGGCACCGGGGAGAATCTTTCTCTGGTCCCACTGGGATCTCTGAGGGGAGCCTGCAGCTGCAGGTGCCCCAGGCCCTGCGATGCCCCCAGGGTGTTGGGATGGACAGAGCCAGCCATAGGGGGAGCTTGCTCTCCAGCAACAAGGATCAGAATCAAGCCCCCGTCACCAGGAAATAAAAATGTTAGCTTGTTTTCATTTCCACCTTGACTTTTACCTAATTTATTAAAAAAACAAAAATGCCAACATGGGCAGTAAAACAACAGAAGAAAAGAACTCAAATCCCACCATTCAGAAGCAACTACTATTGATGATTCTACTCAGCTTTCTAACCTCCAAATACTTTTAAAAGTATTTTTGAATAGGGAATATATGTGCATGGTATAAAATTCAAAAGGGACAAAAAAGGTATCCATTCCCTTCCTCTCAATTTCCTTTTGTAGACAAGCACTGTAACCAGAAATATCCCATTTGTTCACATGCAATTGGATGTGTAGACATATATATTTTTTCCCCCACTAATGGTTGCATTCTCAAACACTGTTTTGCATCTGGCTTTTTTCCAGTTAACTGTATATCTTGGAGATCTCGCTGTATCAGTGCATTGCCTTATTATTATTTTTTTTAAGATTTTGTTTATTTATTCATAGAGACACACACACAGAGAGAGAGAGAGAGAGAGAGAGAGAGACAGAGACAGAGACAGAGACAGAGACACAGGCAGAAGGAGAAGCAGGCTCCATGCAGGGAGCCCGACTTGGGCCTCGATCCTTGGTCTCCAGGATCACACCCTGGGCTGCATGCGGCACTAAACCGCTGCGCCACCGGGGCTGCCTGCCTTATTATTTTTAATAATTTTGTGGCATTCTATTTTACTGGTGTACCCACACTTATTTAGGCAATCCTTATTGGTAGTGTTTGGACTGGTGCAGTATTTTACTATTATAAAGTCTTTCAGGGTCCCTTAAATCTTTGAAACATGTAAATCTATAGTGTAAATTACTAGAAATGGAAATGCTGGATCAAAGAATATGTAACTTTACTAGAAATTGCCATGTTGCCCTTCACAGTCTGTACCATTACATGCCTGTCAGCAGTGTATAAATAGCTGGCTTCTCTTTAATGAATCGTTTCTATACATGATTGAGATTATCCTGGCTATACACATTTTTTAAAAAGGTTTTATTTATGTATTGAAAGAGAGAGTGAGCACGAACAGGGGGAGGGGCAAAGGGAGAGGAAGAAAGACAAGAAGACTCCAAGCTAAGCAGGGAGCCCGAGGTGGGGTTCAATCCGAGATCATGACCTGAGCTGAAGTCAGATGCTGAACCGACTCAGCCACCTAGGTGCCCCTGCCCATGCAGTTTTTTAGCTTTACATTTTATCAAAAGTGTTTTATCACATCAAAACTATTCATAAACAACAAAATCCTTTAAAATTATAAATGTTCATTTTAGAAAGATAACCGTACTAATTGGTAATTACTTTTTTTTTTAAACGCAAGCTTTACACCCAACATGGGGCTTGAACTCAAGACATCCCAAGATCAAGAATCCTGTGCTCTACCAATTGAGCTGGCCAGGCACCCCAGTAAATACCTTTTGGATATATATCTCTGTGTATCTCTCTCTTTTTCTCTCTACACACACACTTTTATGTGTGAATATACACACAGATGTATTTATCTGTGCATGTATGTTTAACTAAAATGAGATTGTATCATTCCTAACTTGCTTTCGAAAACATAATAAAACAGGGATGCCTGGGTGGCTCAGCGGTTGTCTGCCTTTGGCTCAGGTCGTGATCCTGGAGTCCCAGGATCGAGTGCCACATCGGGCTCCCTGCATGGAGCCTGCTTCTGCCTCTGCCTATGTCTCTGCCTCTCTCTCTGTGTCTCTCATGAAAAAATAAATAAAATATTTTTTAAAAAATAAAAAAAATAGGGCATCCCGGGTGGCTCAGCGGTTTAGCACTGTCTTCAGCCCAGGGTGTGATCCTGGAGACCCGGGATCCAGTCGCACATCAGGCTCCCTGCTTGGAGCCTGCTTCTCTCTCCGTCTGTGTCTCTGCCTCTTTCTCTCTCGGTGTCTCTCATGAATAAATAAATAAAATCTTAAATAATAATAATAAAATAATAAAATTTAATAAAACAAACATTTTCTCGTTGCTATGATTGCATCACTGGGATTTTCTAATTGTGTTATTATAAATAATACTGTGATGATGTCTGTATGTATACATTTAATTTTAAAGTATTTCCTTAGGTCGCAGGGTACGGGTATTTTATAAGCTCTTTATACATATTGAGACTTGGGTAGTATGGGTGGCTCAGCCGTTGAGCGTCTGCCTTTGGCTCAGGGCATGATTCTGGAGTCCCAGGATTTTGTCCCACATACGGTTCCCCGCAGGGAGCCTGCTTCTCCCACTGCCTGTGTCTCTGCCTCTCTCTGTGTATCTCTTATGAATAAATAAATAAAATCTTAAAAAAACAAACAAAACAAAACATACTGAGACTTGCAGTCCAGAGAGGCTAGTTCAGTGCCTGTGTCTTCTCAGCAGCAGGACAGGAGGCAGCTTGTCCCTGCCCCCTCTCAGCACCCCCAGCTCTAACCAGCGTTGGTGGCTTGTATACCTTCTCAGTTTCTATGGAGGCTATTAGGACCTATTGACAAATTTTATGTAGACAGATAACAACCGGATTTGCATTTCGATTCCAGCTACAGGGCCTGATAGCTCTGTCAATCCCCTTTGGCCCCTAGGAGGCATTCAAGAGAGATCTCTAACCTGTTGCTATGGAGACAGCAATGCAAGCCTTCATCCGAGGGGCAGAGAGGATACTCACTAGACAATGCACACCAAGATCCTTTCTGTGTCAGGACTTCTACTTATGTGAGTCCCTCTGTATTATGCCTGCTTATTCTGTAGATTTCAGAATACCAGTAGCTCGTCCCTCCAGAGCTCTGAGTGCCAGACCCTTTACTATGCGCCCACCAGGCATCATCTCCTCCGAGGTTGGTACCATGACTGTCTTTCATTTTGTAAATGGGAGAATTGCATCAGAGACTTTACGTTGCTGGTAAATCTGGCCTCATACCCAGGCTCAGAAGTATTCAGAGCCTGCATGCTTCACCACTGAGCTTCCCTGCCTCAGGCCACTTCCCTGAACCATTAGGTGGACTGTGGGAGTAGCTTCCAAGCTAGACGCCTCAGACTGCTTTTGTTTGTAGCACAATTTTAAAACATCATATTTTTGAGTCTTAACAAAACAAAACAATTCCAGATTTGTCTTCCTATTTCCTGCTTCCCGCAAAAGACTGGGAGCTGAGACATCTGTAAACTCCTTCAGGGCAGGGCCCACATCATAATAATCTCAGTATGAAATGCTGGACATGGTGTTCAGACTTTGGGAGCCCAGTCAATTTACCAACTGTGATATTAAATAGAGAAGTTTCCCTGGATTCAAATCTGATACATAAGCTACAACATTAATCAAAGGAACCTTGGTTGAACTAATTCAACACAGACTGGTTATTTTGTGTGTGTGTGTGTGTGTGTGTGTGTGTGTGTGTGTGTGTGTTTGGTGAGCCTCCTTTGGAAACAGTGTAAAAATACCACACCATGGCATCTGTGAAGTGATTTCAGAGCGCTTTTACGATCATTTATAATAATAGCAGGCTCTATGCTAGGTGTTTTGACATACATCACGTCATTATGTAACCTGTTTTTCAGAAGAACTAGAGAAGCTAGCAGGGTAGCTATTATTATCCTTTGGTTTGTTTGGTTTTGACTGCTGTGGGGTTTTTTTTCCCAGAGGAAGAAGCTGACGTTTGGACAACCCACTGGTCTGCATGGTCCCCCTTTTGTTAGAGCCTCACAGCACAGAGCAGCAGAGCTCTGGAAGGCCTCCCCACACCGGGATCTCCTTTGGTTCAGAGCTATAGGCCAGCTCAAGGCCAGGACCCAGGCGTTCTGGCCATTTTTCTCCCTTTGTTCCTTGGATCAGAAAATTCTTCAAGGCTTCAGAGGAAGTACAGGGAGTTGATTCTCATGTATCTGGAGAAGAGCACATAGAGGCGGCGGAACCAGAGCAGCTGGCTGTGGTGGCAGGACATGGCTCTCTAGAAGAAGCAAAGACTAGTTAGAAGACATGCACTGCTTCACTCCTTTCCTCACCTGAAGTTCTTCCTCCCACGAACACACCTCATGCTAATAACTTACTCTGGCTTCTTCCTATAATGCGTGAACACCTCTTGATTGGCCTCCAATCACTGCCTCCCCTGTCCCATCTCTTACCAACAGTCCTGTGATAAAACTACACGATGCCACTGACGGCTATAGAGTGTGATTGGTTTCCATGCATTACCTCAATTTATTATTTTATTTTATTAAAAAATATTTTTAAGATTATTTATTTATTTATTCATGAGAGACACAGAGAGAGGCAGAGATATTTGAGCTTTCCTTCAAAGCTATGATTTTGCTGGTTATTCAATCCTACATCACTCATCTGCTGAATATTAGTTACTTTTTTGACTATCATAAATTATACCAATGAGCATTCTTGCTCATAAATCTCTGAATGCATCTTTGTTTATTTCTTTAGGATAAAGTCTTAGAAATAAAAATGATTGGGTCAGAGTAAGTGCAAATTTATTGAAGTATACAAGTAATACATAATGATTTTGTAAATATATTTACTTATTTAATTAATTTATTTTTTAAAGTAAACTGTTTAGTGTGGGGCTCAATTTTATGGCCCCAAGATCAAGAGTTGCGTGCTCTACCAACTGAGCCAGCCAGGTGCCCCTGTAACCTGTTTGTTTTTACTTAGTATATCAAGAATATCAAAAGATAAGTACATTCTAAACAGACTGACTTTTCTTTTTTAGGTTTTTCTTTATTTATTCATGAGAGACACAGAGGGAGGCACAGATATAGGAAGAGGGAGAGGTAGGTTCCCTGCAGGGAGCCCCATGTGGGACTCGATCCCAGGACCCCAGGATCACGACCTGAGCCAAAGGCAGACACTCAACCACTGAGCCACCCAGGTGCCCCAGATTTCTGAGACTTATTGCTATGACTCCCCAAAAATATTTTACTAATTTACAGATCTATCTCATTTAAGGGCTTAACAATGGGTTCTATCATTTAATTTACCTTTTCCTCTTCCCTAGCAAAAATGTTATTACTTTTAATTTATTTTTAATTTTTGATTATGTTATTAAGCACAAAATATAAATTTTTACCATCTTAACCATTTTTAAATGTATGGTTCTATAATCTTACCCATATTCATATTGTTGTGTAAAAAATCCATAGAATTTTTTTCACCTTGCGAAAAGAAAACTCTAGACCCACTAAAAACCAACTCCCTATTTCCCCCTCCTCCAGTCCCTGGCAACCATCATTCTACCTTCTGTCTCTGTGATTTTGACTACTCTAGATTTCTCATTTGAGTAGAATCATAGAGTATTTGTCCTTTTGCAACTGGCTTATTTCACTCAGCAAAATGTCCTCAGGGTTCATCCATGTTGTAGCAGATGACAGGATTCCTTTCTCTTTTTTTAAGCCTGAATAATATTCCATCCTAAGTGTGTAGATTTTCTTAATTGATTCAAATGCTAGGGACATTTGGGCTGCTTCTATCTGTTGGCTCTTGTGTAACATGCTGCAATGAACATGGATGTGGAAATCAAGACCCTGCTTTCAATTCTTTTGAATATAAACCCAGAAGTAGGATTGCTGGATCATATATATGGCTACCATATATGGTAATTACCATATATGGGAATTCTATTTATTTTTAATTTCTTTGTATTCTTTTTTTTATTAAGTAAACTCTACCCCCAATGTGGGGGCTCGATGTAATGACCCCAAGATCAAGAGTTGCATGCTCTGGGCAGACCCGGTGGCTTAGTGGTTTAGCGCTGCCTTCAGCCCGGGGTGTGATCCTGGAGATCTGGGGTCGAGTCCCACGTCGGGCTCCCTGCATGGAGCCTGCTTCTCCCTCTGTCTGTGTCTCTGCCCCCCACCCCTCTCTCTGTGTCTCCATGAATAAATAAATAAAATCTTAAAAAAAAAAAAAGAGTTGCATGCTCTGCCGAATGCATCAGGCACCCTGTATTTACTTTTAATTTTCTTTTAAAAATTTTTTCTTTTTAAAATTTATTTATTTATTAGAAACACAGAGAATGGTATTTATTTATTATAAACACAGAGAATGGTATTTATTTATTTATAAACACAGAGAATGGTATCTATCTGTCTATCTATCTATCTATCTATCTATCTATCTATCTATCTATCTATATCTATCTATCTATTTAAAACACAGGGAATGGCAGAGACACAGGCAGAGGGAGAAGCAGACTCCTCGCAGGGAGCCTGAAGCGGGACTTGATCCCGGGATCCTGGGATCATGCCCTAAGCCGAAGGCAGACACTCAACCGCTGAGCCACCCAGGCATCCCTACTTTTAATTTTCTTAGGTTCAACATAATTCAGGTGTTCCTGGTCAAGATAATTCAGGTTGATCTGGTTAAGATGCAGCAGTAAATTCGTGCTTCCTGTTCCAAACACATAGTAATGACAAGAAAATGCTGAGAGAATACAGAGACAAGAATGGGTCAAAACTAACACCAAGAGCACCATGAACCTAAAGAATGTAAATACAAGAATGACAGCCTGAAGCAGAGGATTGCTGGCTCAGGGGCTCAGAGCAAGGTGTTGGCTGGGAGTCCTGCTTCTGAAGGATCTCACTGCCCGGACTCTGTTGGATGGGCCAGGGGCTGGGTTGTCTGTGAAAAGAAGTTGGGAAGAAATGCCATGGACTGCTCTGAGGGCAAGCTGAATGCTTTGAGATCAGCACTGAGCTGAATTACCTTTGGGCTTTGTGACTGGAACTGCCAAGTGAGGACCTGATTCTGGCCTTCAAGCAATTGCAAACTCTCTAGACAAGGGTTGGGTGTGTGTGTGGGGGGGGGGGTAGCACGAAGGAGGAGGGGAATAACATTCCTAAATTCAACAACCTTGTGCCTAATTTGCAAATCAGAATTCCTAAAGACAATGTAATGTGAAGAAAGAGAACTAATAAAATCAGCAACTAGACCGTGAATATATTTAAGATGAAGATAGTTTTATAAAACACTTTATCAGGGGCACCTGGGTGGCAAAGTTAGTTACATGTCCAACTCTTGGTTTCTGCTCAGGTCATGATCTCAGGGTTGGTATCTCAGGGTCATGAGATCGAACCTTGAGTTGAGCTCTATGCTCAGCACAGAGTCTGCTTGAGATTCTCTCTCCCTCTCCTTCTGCCCCTCATGTGCACTCTCTCTCTCTAAAATAAATAAATAGAGATGCCTGGGTGGCTCAGCAGTTAAGCAGCTGCCTTTGGTTCAGTGTGTGATCCTGGGGTCCTGGGATCGAGTTCTGTATCTGGCTCCTTGGGGGAGCCTGCTTCTCCCTCTGCCTATGTCTATGTCTCTGCCTGTCTCTCTGTGAATCTCATGAATAAATAAATAAAATCTTAAAAAAAAAAAAAAAAAAAGGAAAGGACTCCTGGGTGGCTCAGTGGTCAAGTGTCTGCCTTAGGCTCAGGGCATGATCCCGGGTCGGGGATCAAGTTCTATATCCGGCTCCCTGTGAGGAGCCTGATTCTGCCTCTATGTTCTCTGCCTCTATGTTCTCTGCCTCCCTCTCTGTGTTTCTCATGAATAAATAAATAAAGTCTTTTAAAAAAATACATTAACAATAAATAAATCTTAAAAAAACAACAAAGAAAGCCCCACTTTGTCAGACCAAAATAATTACATTTTGGACATTCAAACATCTAAGTAGGAGAAAAACCACCCTAAAGAAGAAGAAATTATGAAATTAAAAAAAAGTGAAATAATAGGCAGACAGAAAAGAAAAAAATTGCTGAAGTATATGCATCAGCAAAAAGTGAACAAAGAGGTAATATGAAAGATATAAGAAACAGAGAGGGCCAGGAATCTAGTGTATATCAGTAATGATATTATAAAGTACAGTAGCAGGGGCGCCTGAGTGGCTCAGTTGGTTAAGCATCCGATTCTTGGTTTTCCCTCAGGTAATGATCTCAGGGTCCTGGGACCAAGCCCTGATTCAGGCTCCATGCTCAGCAGAGATTCAGCATGAGATTCTCTTCTCTACCCCTCCCCCTGCTCATGGGCTCTCTCTCTGTCATGGGGAGGTGGAGAGGGGCAGAAGGAGAGGAAGAAAAAGAAGTAGACTCCCCATTGAGTAGGGAGCCTGAATACTACACCTGAAATTACTATACACTTGAAACTACTGTAATGTGTGTCAATTATACCACAACAAAGGAAGAAAGATATTTCATAGAGTAGGGAAAAAATTCAACAATATGCAGAAAATAGACCTAAAAATTACAACAAAAGGGGCGCCTGAGATAGAGCCCCACATCAAGCTCCCTGTTCAGTGGGGAGTTGCTTTTCTCTCTGCTGCCCCCCCCTCCACTGGTGCTCTCTTTCTCTCTCAAATAAATAATAAAATCTTTTTTTTTTTTACACTTGATCTCAGCCAAAAGGCCAAGAAATGATTTTTTTTAAAGATATCATTTATTTACTCATGAGAGACAGAGAGGCAGAAACATAGGCAGAGGGAGAAGCAGGCTCCCCAAAGGGAGCCCAATGTGGGATTTGATTCCAGGACCCCAGGATCATGACTTGAGCCAAAGGCAGATGCTCAACCACTGAGCCACCCAGGTGTCCCTAAATAATAAAATCTTAAAACAAATTTAAGATGACAACAAAAGGTTAAAAATAAAGTATTAAGGGGTGCCTGGTAAGTGTCTGCCTTCAGCTTGGATCATGATCCTGGGATGGAGCCCCACATTGGGCTCCTTGCTAAGCAAGGAGCCTGCTTCTCCCTCTCCCTCTGCCTGCCTCTTTCCCTGCTTGTGCTCTCTCTCTGTCAAATAAATAAATAAATAAATTAAAAATAAATAAATAAATAAAGGCATTAAAAAGCCCCGTGTTGGGTGTGGAGCTTACTTAAAGAAAAACGATAAAGGTATTTTAAAAAGATGAGCCATGCAGATACAAGTCCAAAGAAAGCTATTAGAGCAATGTTAAGATTAAAATAGAATTTAAGGCTAAATCATTAATTATGAGAGACATAGGATGATAAAAGGAATAGTCTACTAAGATGATATAGCAACCTTGATCTTTTATGCACCAAACATAAATAAATCAAACACAAAGACAAATGGACAAATTCAAACTCAGGGTGGGAGATCTCAACATACTTGTATCATAAAGTTATAGATCAAAAAGTTAAGAAAGTAGTTAGAAAGTAGTTAGAATATACAAGTTGTGACCAACATATGTACTAAGCTCAATCTACTGGTTATATCTGGAATCTGAAATGCAACCAATAGAGCACACACATTTTTTTTAGATAAACATGTTAACATTTATAAAGACTGATCATAAAGTAGGTCATTCACTAAGGAATTCTCAATAAGTCTTTAAAAACCAGTATTACAGAAGTCACATGTAATGACCAGAGAGGGATTCAATTCTAAATCAACAATAAAAAGGCTATACAATGATTCTTGTTCTGCTAGCTATGTCCTATAAAGTTACTGCAAACACTTGAAATAGTCAATACTGCATCATTTTTCCTAGGGGAAATAAAGGCTTTGGTTCTTAAGAGCCTCTGGTGTTAACATTTTCATCAGCTGATGAACACATAATCGTGTTTTATGTGTGTTTCTGTTTAAAGATGCTTTATTTAATATTATGTTATTGATTCGTTAACACCAAATACACAACCAACAGGGCTATAACTCATGCATGAATGAAGCTTATTTAACACACATACTTTCTCTGTAAGTGCCCTAGACAGCACTTGAATGGCATCCTTAGAGGACATTTTATTTAATTTTTTTAAGACTTTATTTATTTATTCCTGAGAGACTCAGAGAGAGAGAGGCAGAGACACAGGTAGAGGGAGAAGCAGGCTCCTCTCAGGGAGCCCAATGTAGTACTCGAACCCTGGACCTGGGATCATGCCAAGTGATGCTCAACCACTGAACCACCTAGGCATCCCCTTAGAGAACATTTTAAACAGTAAAATCACCAACAAAAAGCCCCAAAATGAGAACAATGGGGCACCAAATATACTGAGGAAAGGATACTTGTTTATTGTATGAGAGCTGAAACAAGGCAGAGATTTCAACCTCAGTTGAAAACCTGGGTGAGTGCATCATTGGCAACTTAAAACTTTTCACTGCCCTGAAAATACACATGTCCACAGATGACTGCAAAAGTACCATATTAATTTTGGGGTTACAAGTAAATTTTAGCATGTTGGTGCATTTGAAAATATGGAACCTGTGGATAATGAGGATTGACTGTATTATATACACACATAGGCATGTACAAACTTTAAAATATACCCTTAAAAACCTCATGTATTAAAGAGGAACTCACAACAGAAACTATACATTATTTAAAACTGAGTGACAGTGGGAGAAGTACATATCAAAATTTGTTGGGTGCAGCTAACAGAATACTTCAAGGGAAATTAATAGTATTAAAGTATATATATATTTTTAGTATAAAGTATATTTTTAAAAAATGATTGAAAGTGGAAAAAAAAGCTAACCTTTTCAGTCCAAGAAATTAAAAAAAAAAACAATGTAAAACATGAGTAAAGTAGGACAAAAAATAAAGAACAGAAATGAATGAACTATCAAATAAAACAAAGGAGAATTCATGTTTTTGGTCAGTGTTGCATGCTCAGTATCTAGCAAAGTGCCTCTTGGTAGGTATAAATGTTTATTGCAGACAGTTCAAAAAATAAAGCTAAGCAAATATTATTATTATTTAAAAAATTATTATCCTGAGTTCTCTTAGCTTTACTCATTGCTATACTTCTCTCTCTGGTAGACTTAAGTTAATTGTGGGGGGGGGGGGGGGGTCACACCTGAAGACAGATTAAAGCAATTCTCCTTAATTGCCTGCTCCCTACTCCATGGTTTTCAGAATCACCCGCCCCACCGACAGCTAAGAGATTTCACTATGAGAGCTTCATTGGGCCTGACATTTCCTCAATAGGCAAATAGGCCTCTAGTGTTCTATCGTATTGGCTCTTTACAGAGGTTCCTGGCAGGTCTGAGTTCCTCTTAGACTCAAGCTGTGTGGCAAACATTCATACAGTAGAATGCAGGCACCCATTACAATCCTAATGCATAATGACATAGAAGAAAATGGTCATAATGTTGTTAGAACAGGTTTTAAATAGTAGGCACTGTGTGAGCCCATTAAAATACATAATATTCTTTATAGAGAAGGTATGTGTTCACATGGATTATCTCTGAGTGATGGCATTCTGGGTAATTTTTATTAATTATCTTTATTTTCTTCTTGATGCTTTTATATAAAATCCTTTGATATGTTCTACAATGAGCATATTTTTTTACTTAAAAAAAAAAGCATGAAAAAAAAAAGCATGTATATGGGACACCTGAGTGACTCAGCGGTTGAGTGTCTGCCTTCGGCTCAGGGCGTGATCCAAGGTTGGGATGGAGTCCCACAATGGGCTCCCTGCAAGGAGCCTGCTTCTCCCTCTGCCTTATGCCTCTGTCTCTCTCTCTCTGTGTCTCTCATGAATAAATAAATAAAACCTTAAAAAAAAGCATGTGTTATTTTTATGACCAGAAAAAAAACGGTGAAAGTCCTTGATAATCTATGACCGCCAAGGTCTAGCTGGATAGTCCTAACACTCAAATGCTGAACTGCTATGGAAGGTCTTCCATTAGGGGTTGTGAGGGACCACAGGGTCTGGGACACAGATCTAGAGGAAAGGTGTCCAGGAATTCACAATCCTTACCTTGGCCTGTGCCACTTCTTTGCTGGTGAGCACAAAGAGGACATCCTGCCTACGAAGCAGAGTAAAGGGCAGGTCCAGAAGGGAGATATACTTGCGTAACACATTCACTGACTGAAGCGTGAGCACGGAGCACCCTGGTTGGGGGGGAGGGGGGGATGAGAGGAGAGAAGTGAAGGGTCTTATTGCTTCCAGGCAGATTTTCCTGGAGCACCCTACTGCTGCCTTGGGGCTCAGGGCAGGGCAGGACTGTGGCCATGGAGTTGCCAGATGACTCTGTAGCACCAACACTACTCTTTGCCCATCATTCTCACAGATAGGAAGAGTGAAGGGCCACAGAATACCTGGCAGGCTGCCCTCTACTCACAACATGCCCCAGTAAGATAAGGTTGGTTCTAGAGGTTGGAAATGGGCTAACTCAAAGCCAAGGGAAAGGTGATGAAGACCAGAATTTCTGGATTAGGAGGTAAGAGATCTAGACCTCACGGACTTGGGAAAGTCCCAGTCAGCTCTTTGACACTCAGTTTTCTCATCTGTAAAATGGTGTTGACAGAGTAGCAGCCTGTCTCAGAGGTTTGAAATAAAAATCAAATGAACTACAGTCATGTTTCAAAGACTTCACAACCTGGTAAGCTCAGCCTACTGACAAAGAGCACACTCCACTGTGTTTTCATTTGCTTCATCTTCATATCACTCCTGAGGGATGTATATTATTCCCGTTGACAGACCAGAAACTGGCCCAGTTAAGCATCAGTGTCACATAGTAAATGGCCACGTAGGGTCAAACACCTTCTAACTCAAGCAGATTAACTCATTAAGCACCCATCAGCCATTTACAGCCTAGCTAAGTAACTGGGGGCTGGGATGTGAGTTTAGATGGACAGGCTAAAGGAACACTGGAAGTGAAAAAGACCTACCTGGGGAGAGAGCTAGACAGATGAGTGGGTAGGGCCTGGTGTCATGGTTAATTTCATGTGTCAACTTGACTGGGTCACAGGGTACCCAGATATTTGGCTGAACATTATTTCTGGATATGCTTACAAGGGTGTTTTTGGATGAGACTAGCATTTAAATCAGTGGACTCAAGAAAACAGATTGCCTTCCCCAGTGTAGGTGGGCATGATCCAATTCACTGAGGGCCTGAATAGGAGAATAGGTGGAAGAAAAGAGAATTTGTTCTTTTCTGCCTGTTGAGCTGAAATACTGGTCATCTCCTGCCCTTGGACTTACACCACTGGCTCTCCTGCTTCTCAGGCCTTTGGACCCAGGCTGACTTATGCCACCAGCTTTCCTGGGTTCGCAGCTTACAGACCGCAGACTGTGGGACTTCTCAGCCTCTGTACTTGCATGAGCCAAGTCCTTGTAATAAGTATCTTTTATATATGTATCTCCTATTGGTTCTGTTTTTCTAACACATCTGGCCTCCCCTCACACCAGAGACTGCCTGGCTGGCAGGGCACTTCACAATGGATACAACCTGGATTTAAGGCCTGAGGACCCACACTGACAGACACAGTGTGCTGGGTAAGGAAGAGTATGGCCCAGCCTCCCGAGCCCCACCTTTGCTCATCCTAGGGCAGTTCTCTATATATTTATAAATTTCACCCAATATGTTTCTTAGATAGTAACTAGCAGACTTTTACAAAAGGGACAACTTACCTTTAGGTAACCTCCCTTCTGAGTGCAGGGTCCTGGAAGAGGAAAGGACAGGATTGAGAGGGAGCAAGAATTCTTTTGCAGTTAACAGAAAGAGCCTTTGGAGTATAGGGGTCAAGGGCAGGCCTCCCCAACATGGGTCACAATGGCAGATAGATTACCTTGAGTTAACAGCCATCAAAACCCAGCAAATTAAAACAAAACAAAACAAAACAAACAAAAAAACCCCAGCAAATTCAGAGTTGCTTAACATCCCCCACCCCCCCAACCACCACCTAAATTTACATTAGAAAGAGGGTCTGTACCAGGAAGAGAACTAGTCACAGAGATATCTTTTTACCTAAAAAACTTATCTGCAAAACAGGGCCACCTCTGTTTTCCAAGCATCTCAACTTCCTGCGAATGGTCTTCCTCTCCTTTGTACCCTCAGACTCCTACCCTGCTCTGGAGCTCAGGATGACCTACAGGCCTCCTGTTGCCTGACAGTCTTTGGAGTTTCCTGTTTGTGTGGATTCCCCATAGGACAAAATTAAATTTGATTTTCTCCAGTTAATCATGGAAATGTAATTCTTAGTCTAGCTAGAAGAATCTTGGACAGAGGAAAATTTCTTCCTCCCCAACAATAGTAAGGCCTGCCACATTCTATGATCCCTCTATAGGTTTCTGGGATTCCATACCTCTGGCCATAGCTGAAGAGACCAGGGTGAACATCTTCTCCAAGGTCAGCCAATCTGGAGGCTGACCAATGGTTATGAAGTACCCTGGCCCAAGCTTTACCTATTAGAGATGAAGGTAACTGTGATGAACTCTTCAAAGGTTTTCTTTTTTGAAATTGTAATATTAGTGTAACAGGAGACTAATTAAAAATATTAACTGATATTTCTCCCCTAATAGTTCTTTCTCCTTTTCAACCTCCCCTGCTCCCACCTTCTGATAGTGAAGGCCATTCTGCACTCCCTGCCTTAAAGGAAGGTGAGGCCAGTCCAACAGCAATGAACTCAAAATTGCTTGCCTGTTTCTGTTTAAAAGCGAAGGGATGGAGAAAGATGAGATAAGTGGCCCCACCCCACCACCAACACACATACAATGTACACATATGAAATGGATTCCAGTTCTACTTCTGCCATTATTCAGCCTGGCAGTACTTGGAAAACCACTTCACTTCCTCAGTTAAATCAGGTGACTGGACTTAATGGTAGGTGAGATCATTTCCAACTTTACATATTTCACTGCTCTGGTCTGAGAATGTTGGGCATGTTTAGAAGGTTATAAAGTAAGTACTTCACTTCAAATTCTCCTTTCCCTTCCCCAGTGGCTAGGCCAGGCCCACTGCTCCACCACTCATAATGCCCAGGAGAAGTACTTCTCTAGAGGGCAGGAAACACAGTATATATTTGCATATAGTAAGCCCCTCAATATCTTTGAAATGCATTTCTTTTACTAGTAAAATACAGATGTCTATCGGTAAAATAGGGTGGCTATGAAGAACAAAACTTTTCCTATTACATATGTGTATCTTCCTTCTCTAAAGAAAGACTTGATACAGTGTACAAAATGTACAATGGAAAGTAACAAAATAAATTAGAATAATAGGAGGAAAAAGAAGATGAAGCCAAGAGGCACACTGATTTACAAAAGTCAGTCGTTCAGATTTCCCACATGTGCTACAAGGGATTGTGAATTTGGCCCTAAAGCTCTCTGGCCAAACCAAAAAGAAATAAAATGTTACTCCATGGGGAAAAAAACCCTCAGGTGTTGAGGAGACTATATATATATATATATATATATATATATATATATAATAATAAGACAACTTACAAAGAATTTCTCACACAGAGGGTGTTGAGATGTAGTGAGCAATGTGGCCAACACTGGCTCTCTGTAACTCAGTGGTCAGGTCCAGGGGAGCTCAGATGGTGGGTGGGGAAGTGCTTTTCAACCATCTGCCCTGGGGCACCTGCGTGGTTCAGTGGTTGAGCGTCTGCCCCCAGGTCTGATCCTGGGGTCCCACATCAGGTGTCCGGCATCAGGCTCACCCCAGGGAGCCTGTTTATTCCTCTGCCTGTCTCTGTGTTTCTCATGAATAAATAAATATAATCTTAAAAAAAAAAGAAAAAAGAAACCATCCACCCTGAACAAATGAACAGACCCTCTTCCGCCTCACACAGAGTCATACCTCATGGCTGCATACAGAGCAATGTGATTGCTGTGACCACTTACTCCCCCTTCATCGAAAGTCACCACCTGTAGAGAAACACAGGGTGATCACTCATGCTTTCTCTGCCTCAGTTGCAAGGTAGCCATCCCCATCCCCTTGGCAAGAAAAGGAGCGCGCAGAACCCTGAAAGGTTTCCAATTCTGCATACATCTGAACTCACTTTGGAGCAGATCAGTGGTGTGTAACCATTGCACTGGCCAGTTGTGTGGAGACTGTTTGCATGGATTTTACTGTTTACTCTTGTTCCAGGCCAGTGGAGCAGAGTGGAATTCACCCATGATAGGGACCTGGGTTCAGAATATTTTTGTTTCTTATCTGTTTGGCCATTTATTAGCACATTTAGTTTTTCTGGCTGGCTGCTGTGTGAATTTTGTTCTTGTAGATGCTGCTTGATTTATTTGGCTTCTTTTCCTTGTGCCATGGACAAGGAAAGACGGGAGGCTTTGAGGGACATTATCCACCATGCCCTGGGGTTAAAATCACAGAAGTCTATTTACTCCTGGACTGCCTCTGTATCATCTACTTACTAATGATAAGCTTAGTCTAGGTTCCAACATTTCATTTCTGCACAGATGGAATAAAAAAAAAAAACCAAATAAGTTTGGATAATAATTGTGCTATCTCAAATAATAAAAGAAATATAGAAAAGAGAACAGGGACTCAGAAAAAGGAACAGGAGTGGTTGGTTAGGGGTAGTAGAAAGAGGCAAACTGTCCCCAAGGAAAGAGGGTGGCCATGCAGGATGGACCAAAGGGACCAGGACCAGGATTGGTATAGGATGAGAAGGGCTTCCCTATTGGTCTATTTTAAATCATAAAACGTTGACTTCACATAGAGAGAACTCTCTGTAACAGTAAGAGGAACTAGCCTTTATTGAGCACAGGTAGGGGGTAGGAGGCTGTAGTTTATTTTATTTTTTTTAATTTATTTATGATAGTCACACAGAGAAAGAGAGAGGCAGAGACACAGGCAGAAGCAGGCTCCATGCACCGGGAGCCCGACGTGGGATTCGATCCCGGGTCTCCAGGATCGCGCCCTGGGCCAAAGGCAGGCGCCAAACCGCTGCGCCATCCAGGGATCCCAGGAGGCTGTAGTTTAAAAGAAAATTTAGGGATCCCTGGGTGGCGCAGTGGTTTGGCGCCTGCCTTTGGCCCAGGGCGCAATCCTGGAGAGAGACCCGGAATCGAATCCCACATCGGGCTCCCGGTGCATGGAGCCTGCTTCTCCCTCTGCCTGTGTCTCTGCCTCTCTCTCTCTCTGACTATCATAAATAAATAAAAAAAATTTTAAAAAAAATAAATAAAAGAAAATTTAAAGCCCTGTCAACAATCCTGATTCAAACAAGCCGTAAACTCAGGTCATGATCCCAGAGTCCTGGGATCAAGCCCCACATCAGGCTCCCTGCTCAGCAGGGAGTCTGCTTCTCCCTCTCCCTCTGCCTCTCCCCCTGCTTGTGCGCTCACTCTCCCTCTCAAATAAATAAAATCTTAAAAAAAAAGCAAGCCGTAAAAATAAGCACAAAATAAAAAACATATTTATGAGATGAGACTATTGGAAATGTAAACACCGATATTAAGGAATTGTGAATTTCTAGGCATGAAAATAGCATTATAGTTATGTTAATAAGGACTCAATGCCAAGGATTTACTTCAAAATAATACAGGATGGGGGGAGATGAACAGGCGTTTAAATGAAACTAATATTGACTATGAGTTAATAATTATAGGAGCCGAGTGATAGGAACATGGAAGTTCATTAAACTAAGTCTCTCTACAGTTGCAGGCTAGAAGTTCTCCCTAATGGAATATTAATTTAAAGAAAAAAGAGTTAAAGACTTATAAAAAGTAAACCATGAACACATGTCATTATACATTTGTCAAAGCCCATAGAATGTACAGCACCAAAAGTGGACCCTCATGTATGGACTTGGGGTGACAATGTGTCAGTGTTGCTTCATTAACTGTAAAAAATTGTGGTGGGCGAGGGGTTTGTGTGTACTTTCTGCTTAACTTTGCTGTGAATCTAAAACTCTAAAAACTACAGCCTCTTAAAAAATATAAACCATGGGGCACCTGGTTGGCTCAGTCCATAGAGCATGAACTCTTAATCTCAGGGTCATGAATTCAAGTCTGGACATGGAGCCTACTTTAAAAACAAAACAAAACATAAAACTGTGTAACTCAAGGACCTTGTTCTGATCCCACTGTTCCATTCAACACAGGGTTGACAGGACTTTACCCTTATCTTGGACCTTACTTAACCCCAGCCATTGGGCAATCACAGAACTTGACTACTGAAGTTATTTCGAGGTTTAATGCGTCGGTCATTTCGCTTGCGAGATCAGAAAACTAACACTTGCTCTGCTTTCCTCACGGGGTTGAGGTGAAGACAAAAGAGCACCATGTGGAAGTGCTTACGAATGTGTAGATACAACAGGAAAGGCTGGAGCATCTCAACTCCAAGTGCACTGCCATCAGTAGAGCATGACAATGTGGCCAGTGATCACCCTGGGGGTGCTAGAGAGCATTCCCTAGCTTAGGAGGGGTTTGGGGCCGGTGGAGATTGGCTCAATTGCTTCCTGCTCAGTAGGGACTCTGCTTCTCCCTCTTCCTCAGCCCCTCCCCACTCCTTGTTCTGTCTCTCTCTCTCAAATAAATAAAATCTTTAGAAAAAAAAATGAAATTTTACCCAGACCCCAATGAACAGGACTAATGATGGGGCTACTCTGGTTGCTCTGGTTTCTCTAAGATGGTGGTTCTCAACGGGGAGCAATTTTGCCCCATGGCCATCTGGCAATGTCTGTAGATATAAATATATATATATATGTGTATATATACACATATATATACACATATATATATATATTTTTTGGTCTGTAGATATATTTGCTGTGATGACTGAGGGGTGTTGCCACTGGGTAGAGAGGCGGGCTGTCAGTGGGGAGAGGCCAGGGATTATGCTTGCTATGTATTGTACAATGTACAGGACAGTCCTCCACAGCACACAGTGACGGGAGCCCAAATGTCACAGCGCCCTAATGGAGCAGGGACTACCTGTGTTTGGTTCACGGCTATATGGCTAGTTCACAGCAAGCAGTAACTTATCACGTAGCAAGTGCTCAATAAATATTTGTTGAATGAAAAAGGTCGGGGTAGGGGTTGGCTGCTTTCTGTAGGGGGCAGCATTATACTTTTCAAAGCCCTGTCCTGGCAGCTGTTCCACATCGTTCTCCCAGTGCTCCTGCAGTGAGCAGGACAGAGAGCTCAGCAAGCAAATGGCAGGCTGGGACCAGCTAGCACCGTTTCCTTCCATCACAGTGCGCTAACGACTGCAGAGCCAGCTTTTGGCTTGGATAAAGGAGAGGTTTTGGTATTATCCCAGCATGGCCCAGGTGAGAATCTATCTTCCCATGCCTTAGCTCTTGGTCCTCACTTCTGCTTCCCTGTTGGTGCTTTGTCTTCTCTAATTGTGGAGCCAAGGGGCACTTGGGTGGCTCAGTCAGTTAAGTGTCTGCCTTTGACTCAGGTCATGATGCTGGGGTCCTGGGACTGAGTCCCTCTTTGGGCTCCCTGCTCAGTTGGGAGTCTGCTTGTCATTCTGCCCCTCCCCACCACTCTTGCTCATTCTTTCTCTGTCTTTCTTTCACAAAAATAAATAAATAAAATCTTTAATTGTTCAGCCAATACTTCCAGTTTGGAGGGGGCACTTGGGCCCTCTGATTCTGCTATCAAGTGACTTCTCACCTGTCCACTATTAAGCCCTCGTCCCTGGCCTGGCAGGGCCTGTGGGACTGTGAGAAAGTACATTTCACTGTATTGTGGAGGCTGGGGGGAACCCATACTTAGCGTAATTATGGCCATTTATGTCCACACTGGCAATGATGTTAGCATGGCTTTATATTCCTACCATTGCACTAAGTGCAGGCCAGGAAAATTATTCCTGACTGCATTGTGATAGCTTGAGAGTTTCCTTATTAACAGCAAGGTGTGTTAAAGAGCTGCTTTACAATGATTTCCTTGGGGCACCCGGGTGGCTCATTCAGTTGAGTGTCTGCCTTTGGCTGGGGTCATGATCCCATGGTCGTGGGATCAAGTCCTGTGTCCGGCTCCTGGCTCAGTAGGAGATCAGCTTCTCCCTCTCCTTCTCCCCTCTCCTGATTCATGCTCTCTCTCAAATAAATAAAATCTTCTAAAAGTAAGTAAATGATTTCCTTATTTACAGAAATTAAATCAATTGGATTGTCCTGACAATAAAGGCCTCTCACTCGCTGGAATGAATATGAGCACCTCAGACAACAGGAAAGAGCTCTAGGCAGCCAGGTGGCAGTTAACAGTTTGGGCAGTTTGGGAATGAGACTGGTCTGGGGCCTGTTCTCGTTCTTGGGGATATAAAAGATGTCATGGCAGTCCTTGCCTTCATGGACCTTCTAGTCTAGTTTGTAAGACATGGTCTGTACTTCAAAGAATAAACAGCAACTTGCAGGATATATACCAAATACTGTAGGAATCCCAAAGAGGGCTGAAGAAGTCAGGGAAGGCTTTTTGGAGAAGGAGGTCTTGAGATGAGTCTGGCCCACAAATCACTTTACAGGGACACAAACTTGGGAGACTCCTTTTTTTTTTTTTTTTTTCCTTGGGAGACTCTTCTGAGAGCAAGAACAGCATGCAGAGCTGTCTGTGCCCTGAGACCCCTCCCTGGATGCTCAGAGCTGTGGCCAGCTGCAACATGGTTTAAGATAGAAACCTGGCCCCTTGGGGTGCCTGGGTGGCTCAGTTGGTTAAGCATCTGTCTTCTGCTTAGGTTATGATCTCAACATCCTGAGATCAAGCCCCGTGTGGGGTTCCCTGCTCAACGGGGAGTCTGCTTCTCCCTCTCCCTCTGCCCTTCCCCCCAGCTCATGCTTACTTGTGTACTCTCAAATAAATAAATAAAATCTTAAAAAAAAAAAAAAGAAAAGAAAGAAAGAAGCCTGGCCCCTTAACAAGGACCAATTCTGTTCACCAGTGTGCAGTATGTAAGGGCCAGATCAAAGAGAGCCGAGTTCATAAAGACAGGAGTTTATCTCACAAGTTCCTGGGAAAATCAACTGCTGTATGCACTGAAATAGGGGAAGAGAGTATTTGAGGACCAGTCCTGGGGAAGCCACTCCTTTAGTAAAACAGGGTATCAAGGGGCTTGGCAGCACACTTCAAGGACCTCATTGTGGTATTTCAGGCTGGCCTCCAACACCAGCTTTATCTCCCCATCTGGGCTGTGGAGTCCTGATGAGTCTGGCTTGCATGGGCTGGGCTGGGCTGGGCAATAGAATGAGGTCAGACCAGTCAGCAGGGCTGGGCCTTTGACTCCTAAGCCCATGGACCCTTCCCTCTGGCTTTCAGACTCAGATCCTCTTGGAAAGTAAAGCTGGGAGGCGTGAGGCTGCAAGCTGTTGGTGGCCATTTTTCCAGCCAGGAGAAAGAATGAAGCCAGAGCACAGAGCAAGATAGAGAATAGCCCTACCATGACCGGGGGGCCATCTTCATCTGTGCCTTTATGGGAATCCCAGTGAGCCACTTAGGTGCCCCTTTTGGCCTGTGGGGACTAAGTTTCAGTTGTGTTTCTGTCATGAGAAAACAAGATGGTGTTCAAGGAACATAAATAAACAAAAATATGTTAATACCAAAGAAGAAAAAAAGAAAGAAGAAAGAAAAGCTACATGAAATATGCCAAAAAGGAAAAAAACAAAACCAAGAACAGTTTGACCACTATGAAAGGAAAATTTGCTCTTTTTATTTTTATTTTTTTTATTTTTTTATTTTTTTGAAAATTTGCTCTTAAGAAAGGTCTAATAGGGCTGGCTGGCTGGCTCAGTGGGTAGAGCATGGGACTCTTGATCTCCGGATTGTAAGATGAAGCCTCACATTGGGTGTAGAGACTACTAAAAAAAAAAAAAAAAAAGGATCCCTGGGTGGCTCCTCAGCGGTTTAGCGCCTGCCTTCCGCCCAGGGCGTGATCCTGGAGACCTAGGATTGAGTCCCACATCGGGCTCCTTGCATGGAGCCTGCCTCTCCCTCTGCTTGTGTCTCTGTCTCTCTCTCTCTCTCTCTCTCTCTCTCTCATGAATAAATAAATAAAATCTTTTTAAAAAAAAGGGAAGATTTGGGCAGCCCGGGTGGCTCAGCAGTTTAGCGCCACCTTCAGCCCAGGGCGTGATCTTGGAGACCCAGGATGGAGTCCCACGTCGGGCTCCCTGTGTGGAGCCTGCTTCTCCCTCTGCCTGTGTCTCTGCCTCTCTCTCTCTCTCTCCTCTGTGTATTCTCATGAATTAAAAAAATCTTAAAAAAAAGGAAGATTTAATAAATCAGTTCACTCAGTGAATTTGGCACCGATAAAAGCCTAACATGTAGGGATCCCTGGGTGGCGCAGCGGTTTAGCGCCTGCCTTTGGCCCAGGGTGCGATCCTGGAGACCTGGGATCGAATCCCACATCAGGCTCCCTGCATGGAGTCTGCTTCTCCCTCTGCCTGTGTCTCTGCCTCTCTCTCTGTGACTATCATAAATAAATACAAATTTAAAAAAAAAAAGCCTAACATGCTTTCGTGTTACCGGGACTCATCAAAACTTACACCAAAAGATTAGGGCTTTAAGTGGTAGAACTTTAGGCATTAACCCATAAAGGATTATTATTGTCATTTTAGAGGTGGGCAGTAAGCCTTCTCAGCGGCCTTCACATCGACCACTGGCAAGGCTCAGTCCAGAGATGAGATGTGGGCTCCTACCTTTGTATAGCTCTGCAAGTAAATATGATTCTCCACTATTGCCCTATGACCAAAATGTTCTCACATGCAAAAGTGCATGTGAATTTTTTAAAAAGATTTATCCATTTATTTGAGAAAGAGAAAGAGCATGGGATGCACGAGTTGGGGGGAAGGACAGAGGGAGAAAGAGAGAGAGAATCTCAAGCAGACTCCATGCTCAGTGCAGAGCCTGACCTGGGGCTCAATCCCTGACCCCTGAGTGGAAACCAAGAGCTGGATGCTCAACCGCCTGAGCCACCCAGGCGCCCCTGTAGGACACGTGAATTTATCCTTGTGTTTTCTGGAGTGAGAAATTGAGGCTTAAAATCCCAGCTTCACTACTTGCTGACCTTGGGCAAGCTTCTCAGCCTCTGGAACCCCAAGTTTCCTCAATGTCAAATGAGAATTATAGTAACATTTGCCTCTTCCAGTTAAAATGGTCCCCTAAACGTGAAAATGCTTGGGAAAAGGTGAAGTTCTATACAAAGAGGAGTCATACCATGGGCTCCTGGGGCCCTGAGTTTTTAGATGGGAGGACAGAGGTTGGGGGTAGAGATGGTTAAGGAGGATGACACAATTTGTAAAAAACCTCTGCCTCCACCTGAGCCTGACAGTTTGGTTACACAGTCTCACAAAAGGTGTGTTTGTTCCTCTGGAGATTTGTTTATTTATTTATTTAAAGATTTTATTTATTTGAGAGTGAGCAAGAGAGAGAACAGAGGGAGAGAGAGAAGCAGACTCTCCACTGAGCAGAGAGCCCAAGGCATGGCTCAATCCTATGACCCTGGGATCATGACCTGAGGTGAAGGTAGACACTTAACCAACTGAGCTGGCCAGGCACCCCCCTCTATAAGTTTAAAAGAGAGCTCTAGGGGAGGGCAGCCATGTAAAGGTGTGACCAGGATCCCCAGCTTTGCATTTAGAGAGGGTGTCGCCTTACCAGGTTGATGCTGTTCATTTCTATGTGCTGGAGGAGGATGCTAGCCACACGCTCAGTGTCCCACTGCACACTTGGGTCATCTGGGAAGTCCCTGGAAGGAAGAAACACAACTGGAACACTTTTCTAATCAGGTGTGGACTTCTCCCTAAGGTCTGGTATGTGTGTGCCAATCCTGTGATAGGATCCACCCTTAAGGATTCAGATTTCAGGGAAAAGTGGTAAGACTTAGAAATGTGACACAACTAGAAATCAGCACACAACTCCACGCAACACACTCTTGGTGCTTTGTGCTGGCTGCTGAGGGGAGGAAACAGACACCGAAGAGACAAGGCTTTGATCTGAAGCTGGGGAGACGTGAGGGTAGGAACAAATGTGGACATACTGCAGAATGAAATGTATCTTTACAAGAATAATAAATTCTTGTAAGATTGAATAAATTTTTGTGTGCTTGAATAAAAAGCACAAAGCTATGTTACTTCATTTAACCTCATGAACATCTGGTGAAGGAGTCTTTGCAGATGAAGTTAGGTAGCCTGCTTGCAAGGTTGTTGGCACTGGATTCAAATCCAGGCTTCCTGACTATAGAGCCAAGATGTTCTAACCCTAGGGAGCCGGTGACATCCTCCAATGGGGCTGCACCACAGTGGGGCTGGTCTCAGGAGCAGAGGTCTCCAACTTATCTGTTTCCACTCGGCCACACCATAGACCTATCTTCTCCTATGTCTCTTTTTTTGTGCATCACTATGGCATTACCTAATATAAAGCCAGGCCTCAGTTTGACCTCAGTTTGAGGATATCATTGGTAGTCTTTTTATTTGTATATTTATTTATTAAATTTTTAAAATGTAATCTCTACCCCCAGAGTGGAGCTCAAACCCTTGACCCTGAGATCAAGAGTTGCATGCTCTCTGAACTGAGCCAGCCAGGCACCCCTATTCATAGTATTATAAATAGATTTCCATATCTCTCTCTCTTTGGCTCAGGTCCGGTGGCAACACGCACAAGGCTACTGAGAGGACACAGGCTCTCTTTGCTCCCCACCAGACAAGCTGCTCTAAACCTCCTTCTGGACAAAGACCATTGACTGACCCTCTTCAGATTCTGCTTAAAGGAGCATCACTGAAAGATTTTCAGCAGGAAAATGACATGAGCCTCAGCACTAAATAGTGCATTTATTCCCATTGCTTCATGGGCCACTTCTACCCACCCTCTAGGGTGCCTTCCAGAAAGGGCAGCTTTATGCTTTTCTAAGCATTGTCCTGCCAGCCATTCTATGCAGGTCTCATAATGCTCTTGCAGTGAGCAGGACAGACAGCTCAGCTGGTGGGGGAATGGATGGGGAGAAGCAAGATGTCCAGCCTTGTTCTCTGGAAATGGAGCCGAATATGGGGTGTAGAACATGACTAGCAGAGCGGAAGAGACCACTGGAGAAATATAAGAATCAGGGAAAATACTTTGGGGTGAAAACAGCTACATACAAGCTCCTGGCTGGGAGGGCCACATAAATGTATCAAGGCATCACTTGGGAATATGACTACACAGATAATATTCTCATGGATGGAGAAGCAGTCTAAGGGAAAGGGTAGGAGGATCATTGCTAAGTCTACTACTTCTCCCTTCTGAGAGCTGAAAGATGAATCCCTGAGTGGGAAAGCTCTTTGCCACCTTTCATTTATCTTCAGAGAAGTGGGATCTGCTATTCTAGGGCTCTTCACTTAGAGTGGGCTCAGGGGCAACTCCAAGCCATTCTGTCCCTGACTCCACCCTCTGACCATGGATAGGGAAGCAGATTATTTGGGGGCCTTTGGTATATAGATATCCCCTCTGGGCGCCTGGATGGCTCAGTCAGTTAAGTGTCTGCCTTCAGCTCAGGTCACGATCCCAGGGTCCTGGGATGGAGCCCCACGTCAGGCTCCCCGCTAAGCAGGGAGTCTGCTTCTTCCTCTTCCTCTCCCCTCCCCCCAAGTTGTGCTCTCTCTGAAACAAATGGGTAAAGTCTTAAAAAAAAAAAAAAAACCAAACCCATAATCTGGTGCATCTGATATGGGAGCACTGCTTTTGTGATCAGGTCCAAACTCCTCTTCAGAAGGCATTCAAGATTTTCCCCAATCTACCTCCCATTTTGATCCACTTCATTTCTCTTTATACGAGAGAGCAAATAGGGTAACACTTGAAAACTCTAAAGGGATATGTAAGCATCAAAGCAGTGGCTGCTATTGAAGCATTAGCCTAGACCCTTTCAAATAACAACAAAAAAACCCAACAAACAGAAATCCCCCAAGTCTCTTGCTCAGGAAGTCTCTTACAGAGCTCTTTGCTGATTGCCTACATTATTGGTCAACGGTTTCAAAGTGAGTTGTAGGCACTACTACTACCAGGAGATATATGAGATAATTCACTCAGGTAAAGCAAGAATTCACTAGATTGTCTACATTTTTCTATCTGTTTAAATTACTACTTTGCAGCTATTTTTATAAGGTTTCATATTCTTTAGTAAATGTATGGAATCTCTACAGTTTATTTTACTAGTGTTTTCCATCTTATTTAATTTTTTTTTAAAAAAAGATTTTATTCATTTGAGAGAAAGAGGAGAGCATGAGTAGGGTTGGGGAGGGGCAGAGGGAGAAGGAGAACCAGACTCCCCACAGAGCAGGGAACTTGATCTCAGGACCTGGGGATCATGACCTGAGCCAAAAGCAGATGCTTAACCATCTGAACCACTCAGGTGCCCCCATATATTTCACTCTTGATTCTCCCACCTATTGTAAATTCCCTGATGACTAGATGTTACGTTAACCATTTAATGGTCAGGGTTCAGCTAGGAAAATGGAAACTGTCAGTTGTGTCAGAAGGAATTTCATACAGGGAACTGTTTACCCAATTGAAGGGAAGAGCTGAGAGGCCAAACATGGAACAATGAATCAATGCAGAGATTGGCAACAACAAGGAGACATTAGCTTTTGCAGGATGGGACCGCAGAGCTATGGGATGGTGATGATGGTGGTATGGATACAGAATGGCAGGAACTGGGGTCACAGAAAACAAGGTGGAGGGCGGGGGGAGGGGAATACTCTGGTTTTCCCTCCTTCTGCCTACCAGTTTCCTATCTCTGCTGCCTATTGATCAAACCTATTGAGACATCAATTGGCAAGAGAGCCTGAAAATGTACTTTGCATGGCACAGAGCAAAGCCATAAAGTGTCTGCAAGGTCTTGCTTGCAGCAGATGTCCAATGGATATTTACTTTCAATAGCTGGTCAATCCTGACCCCAAACCTTCAAAAGACAGCAGCAGTCTGGCCCCTTGCCCCTCAGTGTGAGGAGTCTAGTTTTCCAGTCTTATGGGAATGCAGTAGCTACTAGTTGCTTTGATATAGAAGGGAGTGGGGAACACCATAGGGAGGACGTGGAGTCCACAGCTGGGCAAGCAGGATTCAAGGCTCAGGGAAGGGATATGTGGGGTTGGCAGTCAGCTCTACCCCAGAAGCCCAAGGACAGAGACTGCACATGATTACAGCGGTCCAGTGTTATCGGGAGGCAATGTGATGTGGGAGAGGGATAATTAGGTGGGAGGACAGAACACCTAAGTTCTAGTTCCCTGCTCACTGTGTGATGGCGGGGGTGGATGGTTAGGGAGGTGAAGGGGCAAGCTGCATCACCAACCCCTCTGAGGGCCTTTCCAGCTCTGAAATCTCAGATTGCATGCTGTAAGCAATTTCTGAGCAATTTCTAATTTTAAAACACTGATCATGGATGGTAGTTTTTAGGACAAAGGAGAGGTCTTGGAGGGGAAATAGCACCAGGGTGGTCAAAACCAGGCTCCTGGGATTCTGCTCCCGCTACTCTCTCAGCACTGAGTCAAGCTCCCAGTATTTATTGCCGACCTGTTATATTTCAGTATTTGTCCACTGCTGTGTACCTTGTACTTAGAATGCACTTATCTGGTAAAGTGTAGGCACTCATTAAATGTTGCTTTTCCCTTTTATTTCCTAATGTTTTCCTTACCATTTCTTAAGAGAGGGAGGAATTATTCATCATTATCAGGGATGACAGATTGATTTTAGCCTAGTGTCATTCAGTAGCTGCTGATCTGGGACCCCGTAGAAGGGCTGAGCATACACAGATGTTGTCTCCAACATGTCATGTGTTACCTTGCTCAGAGTCTGTGATGGAATTCTGACATGACCAGCATTCTCAGAGAGATGAGAACATCAAAGTTAGGAAAACAGAGCCTTCTGCTCTGATGTCCCTGGAATTCTCCCTTCATGTGGAATGCCTACCTCTGCCCTCTGCCCTCTCATAACTTGAGATTCCTCTCTCCCCTTCTTTCCACCCTGCCTAATCTAACATATCTTTAGAGCCTTGCTTTAGTGCTGCCTCTTCCATGAAATCTTCTAGAAGGGGTTTGTGGCCAACTACAGAGTTTAGAGGGCATAGCCCCTAAGACTGCCCTCATTTGTTTGTTTCTTTTTTTAAAAAGAAGATTTTAGGGGGACGCCTGGCTTAGTGCCACCTTCAGCCCAGGGTGTGATCCTGGAGTCCCGGGATGGAGTCCCACATTGGGCTCCCTGCGAGGAGCCTTCTTCTCCTTGTGTCTCTGCCTCTCTCATGAATAAATAAATAAAATCTTTAAAAAAAAATAAGATTTTATTTTGGGGGCACCTGGGTGACTCAGTAGTTAAGCATCTGCCTTTGGCTCAGGGCATGATCCCAGGGTCCTGGGATCGAGTCCTGCATTGGGCTCCCTGCAGGGAGCCTGCTTCTCCCTCTGCCTATGTCTCTGCCTCTCTCTGTGTGTCTCTCATGAATAAATAAATAAATAAAATATTTTAAAAATATATTTTATTTTTAAGTAATCTCTATACTCAATGTGGGGCTCAACTCAAAACACTGAGATCAAGAGTCACATACTCTACAAATCAGCCACTCCAATTACCCTCATTTCTGATACTGATGGCAAATTCAGGGGTTCCCAAAGCCACCCTCGAGTCTGATAAATTGCTAGAAGGACTCACAGAACTCACTGAAAGCTATATTATGTACAGTTATAGTTTTTAAAAAAGATTTCATTTATTTATTTGAGATAGAGTGAG